TTCTATTTGTTTTTCTTGACTTTGTTCCCATTCTTTTGGTTTTGTCGTTTTATTATAAAATGGAAAAATAGTTCTTTGTAATGCAGCTGCAGGTGCTCCAAGAGATGCTATTGGTCCTTGAGTCCCATCATAAATATAATTTGTAGTAAAATTAAGTTCGTTAGGTTCTATTGTTTCACTCACACTTTCTACTGCATTAAAATTTGAAGCAACAAGAAATACAGAGTTGTTATATTCTTTCATTGCTTGCATTGTTGCAACATTTACATGATCAATTGATTCATCGTCTTCTCTCAATATAATTTCAAAAGTAATATCTTGAGTAGATTGATGTTGACACTTTCTCAAATCTTTTAGAGGAACCATTTCAAGACAACCACATGAAAATTCTTCTTTTGTTATTTTATTAACAATAACCATTTCAGGAGTACTATAAAGTGATGGTTTTTGGTATATCCAATTTTCTTTATCAACTCTAAATTCTGACTCAGTTTCTCCTGTAATTCGTTTAACCCAATCTTTTCTTCTTACTTCTTCACTTCGTATACTCATTCTTGACTTATTTATTTTAAACTAGAAAATCCTTTAAATATAACCTGATATATTATTATAATTCATACAATCTTTCAATTATATAATAAGTAAAGTAAAAAAGAAATAATTTAACTTAAAAAAGTTATACTTTACTATTTAAACGTCTTACTTCACATATTTAAAATGAAAAAATAAAATAAGTCAGTGTTTAAAATTGATATTAATTATTTCAATATACTATTTGATTCAGATATTGTTAATTTGAATAAAAATACATCAGTATTTGAACAACAAATAATGAATAAAGAACATATAATAATTATCATTGAAGATGAAGAAGGAAATAAATTTGGAGGATATGTTAATGAGAAAATTGATAAAGTTGGTGGTTGGATAAATGACTCAAAATCATTTGTATTTTCATTAGAATCAAAAGGAAGAATGAAAAGAATGATGAAATTTGATATTGAACAACCACAATATGCATTAAAATTATATAATAAATCATATGATCGTTTGTTTTCATTTGGATGTGGTGATATTATTGTTTTTAAAGAAAATAATAAAACACAATCATATTGTGATCAATATTCAAATAAATACTGAAAGTAGTTTGAAAAAAATAATAATATTTTCAGGTAAAATAAACATGAAATTTGTTTTAGTATTATATTAATTATGAAATAGGTATATTAATTTTTGTTATTGTTAAGTTGCTGTTTCTATTCATTCACCAAACATATAATATATTAAATAATTCATTCATATATAAAATAATTCCATATAAATATTCTAATTAATTCATAGGTATACTGTTATAAAGAAATAAACAATAAATGATATATTATAATGTTAATTGTATACAACATTAAGAGAATAAATGAGTTAATTATCTTTTAACACCTCATAAAAAGAACTTTCAGTTTTATTAGTAAGATGGATTAAATGATAGTTTAAATTGAATTTAATGTTCAAGAGTGAAATATAATTAATTTTATTATAAAATTTTAATAATGAAAGTGTTATTTAATCTTGTTTACTCCACTTATTTTCATTATTTTTTTTTCCATATTTCTACTTCATTGTAGTTTAATGAAATAATTAATTCACTGTCTGTTTCATTGAAAACAATGGTTGAAATAAGTTGTTTAAATTTAGTAAGTTATTGAAGTAACTTAGTGTTAGAATTATGAATATTATAAAGATTAATAAAGAAGTCTTAAGTAGATGAAGCCATCAATAATTCATCATTCCAACCAATAAAAGAAAGTTTGATAATTCAATTTTTATGGCTTTTAATTTCATTAATACATTTCCATTCTCCATCAATGTATTGATGGAATTTAATAGTATTATCTCATCCCTACTAACAATTTTAATATTTCTATCATTATTAATAACATTGACTCTATTCACATCATCACGACGTGCAATAAACGAAATTGTTTTCCACGTTTTTGTTGGTCTAATACATTCAATAACACCAATTTATCTTTCAGTTGATCCAAAAACTAATTTAAGTCCTTCACTTTCATGGAATAAACAAATGGAATTAAGTGATTTTGTATGGAATTGGTGAATATAAATGACATTGTACAAACCTGGAGTAGTTTCTCTCCAAGTTAAAACTTTTTTTATCATAACTACATAAAGTCAATACAAGACTATATCAAGGATGTTCATTTAACTGACCAAACAGAGCCAGTATGATTAAACCAATGAAAATTCAAAAAACTTTGAAGAAGCTAAAAAAAAGTAGTAATGAACTTTAAATTTCTCTTTTAAAAACAAACCAATTTAAAGTTAAAAGAGTATAAAGAGGATTAGAAGAAGGAATATCATATATTAAAATCCTATTGTCCAAAGTACCACAAGTAATGTTAATTCCATAATAATTAAATAAAATGTCTTACTAAGAAAGATGTAAATTTAATAATAACTAAATTATAAAAAAGTGTATTACATCACTTAGTATCACTTGGTAAAACAAAACCCATTTATTGAGAAGTCTACAAATAAATAATAAATGAAATATAAAAAGAAAGAGACTTTCAAACCATAAAAACTAAAAAAATTGATTTTAAGTTTAAAAAAAAAAGAAAAGAAAAAAATATAAAAGAAAATATAAAAGAAAACTAGTTAAAAATAAAAAGATAGAATGAGTATTGGATTTCCTATTATTGTTCAATATTTTAATGGTACTCAAAAAGAATTAAAAGAAGTTATTAATAAATATAGTCCAGACGTAGGTATTATTAAATTAACTCAACAAGGTCCAAATTCATTTAAAGTAATTGTTAATAATACCCAACAAGGAAGAACAATGATGAATTTTAATAATTTTATTTATAATGGAAATCAAATGATTGTTACCTTTGAAAGAGAGCCTTCAACAGAGGCACAACTATTACATTGTTTTGAAGTTATTAAATATTCATTTTGTGATGTTCAACAACGTCGATTAGATCTTTCAAATTTAATGGAAAAATTTAAACAATTAGGTTATTCTCCACAACAAACAATTAATCAAATTTTTACACAATGTATTCATTATTTTAAAGAAGAAATTCCAGACTTACTTGAACTTTCAATTGCGTCAAATCAAATAGGAGAAAATACAAAAATATTTAGTGAAATTTCTTATGGATTTCCATTACTTTCAAAAATTGATATTAGTAATAATAATCTCACTGCTTTATATCAAATTCAAGCATTAGAAAATTTACCTATTAGAGAAATGAATTTATTAAATAATCCATTACTTAAACCTACTATTATTCCGTTTGTTTTATTTAATTTTATTAAATAACAAAGTCTTTTAATAGTTATAATATCAACTTATAGTCAATTAACTATTTATTTCTCTTCATTAGAAGTATTAAATGGTCAACAAATTAAACAACGTCTTTATCTTCCTTCTGTTAATTCTATTCCTTTACCTTCTAAATTTGATTCAATTTATCCTTCTAATCCAGAACATTTTAAACAAATATTTCAATTTATGAAAACTTATTTTCATTATCATGATACTGATGTTCAACAATTAGTCGCTGTTTATTCTCAAAATTCTATTTTTGATATTGTTCTTGAAAAAGGAATTAAATTCCCTTCAACTACTTCAAGAAATTTAAAATCAATTACAAATTCTAATGATATTTTAAAAAGTGTTTGTATTGGACAAAGAAAAATTGCTGAAAAAATATTAAATCTTGGTGGAACTACTCATAGAGCAACTTGTTTCTGTTATGATATTATTTCAATTAATTCTTTGGTCGTTTGTTTTTTTATTACTTCTAAAGAAATCAATTATTATTAATTTCATTAGAATATTAATGTAATGGGTGACGTTAAAATTGGTAATGATGTTTACCAATTTTGTAGAACTTTTGTTTTAATTCTTTCTCCAAATCCAATTATTTTAAATGACCACTTACATCTCTTTTCAAATACTTCCGTATTTACTACTGTTAAAACTTATTCATCTTATGTAAGATATATTAGTTCTCATTTCCCTGGACTTGACGAAGAATACTCTTTATTTACTTTGGAAAAGAATCAATGGAATGTCCCTCAAACTCAAAAAGAAATTTGCCAACATTTCAACATTAAATCTACTTTTTAATTCAAAATTAAAAATCATTAACCTATAAAAGATTTTTTTAGTTAATCCTCTCTTATTCTTTTTTTTACTTTATCAAATTTAATTCTTATTTTCATTTTGTTTTTGTTTAATAGATTCTTGTTAGATTCCATTTTCTCTCTTATTCATATAAATTTTTACTTCTTTTTTAATACCTTTTATTGTTTTTATACTCCAACTTTTTTTATTAAATATCATAAAGATAGAACTTTATTATTGACTGTTATTTCATACTTTCTAAATGATAAAAATAACTAAAATATTCTGATGATTTAATGGAATAATATTTTAAATAAAGAAAATCTACTGAATATTTAATTAAATAATGAATAGTAATTTTCTTTATTTAGTACTATGGAAATTTAAATTCTATTTGTCCAACACTAACTTAGAATATTACTCTTTTTTGAATATTATCAAATTCATTAAATAACATATCAAGGTTCTAATCTAAGACAAATTAAATAAACTTAAAAAGAAAATAAAAAATGACAAATAATGTAGTAATGTAGGTGGTGAATTTCATCATATTTAAACCAAAACTATCAACAAAAATAGGAAAATGGAAAATAATAAAAGAACAATGAACTTACAGAAAGAATGATATTACCAAAGTAAACAAATAAATATTGTATCTATTAATAAGAATTATTATTTTATGTAATCAGTAATAAAGAATGAAACATCCTCAGAAATATTTTCTATAAACAAAAAACAGTTAAATTCCCTTTTGTGTGAATTTATCATTTTTTATTTTAGTTATATAAAACAAAAATGAGGTATTGAAGTTTTAACAAATGAAAAGAATAATTTATAATAAATTTATTATAAAAAGAACTAATAAAAAATGAATAAAGAAACTTAATGGAAGAAGATTTTGAGAAGAAACCAAAAGCACTTGATGAAGAAGAAATTGCTATTTTAAAAGCATATAATCGTGGTCCATATGCAAATTCAATTAAACAATTAGAAAAAGAAGTTGCAGACCTTGCAACAGAAATACATAATTTAGTTGGAATACAAGAAAGTGATACAGGACTAGCACCAGTGTCTCAATGGGATTTAAATGCTGATAAAAAATTGATGGAAGAACAACCATTACTTGTTTCTAGATGTATTAAAGCTATGCCAGATGAACGTGAACCACGATATGTTATTTCTATAAAAGAATATGCAAAATTTGTTGTTGGTAAATCAAATAGAGTTGAAAAAGATGCCGTTCAAGATGGAACAAGAGTCGGAGTAGATAGAGCACGTTATGAAATTAAAATGGCACTTCCACCAAAAATTGACCCATCAGTTTCTGTTATGCAAGTTGAAGAAAAACCAGATGTAACATACAAAGATATTGGAGGGTGTAAAGAACAAATTGAAAGAA